AGATAAGCTGACTGTTGAATTGCAAATCGTTTATGAATGACATGACAACGTTGATGATGAGGGAGCCAGGTGTTCCTAATTATCCCAAGTAGGTCCCACTGGAAAATTGATAGCCCACCTCACCAGAAGCCCCCTTCATCCTCCCGCACCTCCTCGGACATGGCCATTCCCACGCCAATTTCCCCCCGCCATTTCAATTACAAAGCCTTTCACATCTTTCCCTTCTTTACCAGGTTGGATTATGTTTTACTCTTTCTTTCTCCTCTTTTTCCTTTTGGAATTTCCACTTCCCTTCTCCTTTTTCAGTTTTCTCTATTTTAATTTTGCTGCCTGTCTTTCACTGTTCCTCTGTGTTTCATTCTTGGTATCTCCCGTTTCTTCCTCCTCTTTTCCTGGTGATTTGAAGTGAATTTTAATTCTGGCTTCTTGGTAATTGGACTTGCGAGTGTAATTTACTGTCAAATGTACACTCCGTTCCAATATTGAATCTTGTCTGTCAGTTTCCCAACGTCAATGTTTCCCGTCGAGAACAGTTTTTTTTTTCCTTCCTTTTTTTCCCTTTCTTTTCACTGATTCAGTGCGCCAATTACTTATACTGCGTTAGTCAAGTTTTAGCTGAGCCCAGGTCGATGTATGAGGAATAGGGAATAGGGGGGAGGAAAGAACTCCACTGTTGCTAGGGAGGTCTGTTATTTTTGCTTTGGTTGAAGTGGTCTGACTTTTCTCACCGACCACGACGGGCTGAAATTCTGAAATATTATGTTGGTTACTTTTGGCGACAGATCGCGACTTCGTGGTCTAGGATCTATATCTTCTGATGGAGCGAATGATTCTTTTGTTCTTCTCCCTTCCTTTAACTGTTTTGGAGGGCCTGAAGGGCTGATTTTTCTGGCTGTGTCATTTCGAGGAGTTTAAAATCTGTGGGAGAGTTTTTTGTCTTCGTTCTTGAACCTTCATGGAGGGCTCATATGGATACGTTGATCACTACTTCCTATGATTTGCAACTTGCAATTTTTTATCATTTTATTTTTACTAATTTTGAATCTATTACTGCTTGTAGTTATACGATTATGTGCCCTTTTTCCAACCTCCCCCCCCCCCCGCCCCAAAAAAAACCAAAAAAATAAAAAAAATGAAGGGGTAGAAAGGGTCTTCTAAGTTGGGTACTCTCATTTTGAGTTGAATTAGAACAAAAGGTTTGAAAGTTTACTCAAAGTTCGTATTTGGACATCTTTTTAGAATTCTTATACCTGCAACTATTTTACTTAGAACGGTATCTAAGTTGGATACTGTCAAAAAAAGTTGCGTTAATTTGATCACTGGAACCTCTGGGTATGTGTGCCAACGCTTTTTGGTTCATATATGTTGCTCATCTTCTCCATCGATATAATGAAGCTCTTGTACATTGGCCCCGTATTTTTCCAGCATTGGACCGAAAGTCAAGTTACTATAATGATGATTGCTTTGTTTTCATGCAGACATTGAATTTTGCCTATTATGGGTTCTTTTTTCAGTATGGCGAATGCCAAATCCGATAGGAGTGAGGGTGACGAGGCCTTTCAGAATGAGATCTGCAAGAGGAGAAGAATGTTATCTAGCTTTGATGAGGAGAGTCCAAGATTAATTCCAAATCTTCCCGATGAATTATCACTTCAGATTATCGCCAGAGTTCCTAGAATTTGTTACTTAAACATGAGGTTGGTCTCAAGGAAATGGAAGACTACTATCATGAGTTCTGAATTATATAAGTTAAGAAAAGAACTTGGAACAACTGAAGAGTGGCTATATCTGTTGATCAAGGTTGGAGAAAACAAGCTTATATGGCATGCCCTGGATCCTCGTTCCCAAAAATGGCAGAGACTGCCTGCGATGCCCAATTTTGTTAATGAAGAAGAATCTAGAAAGGGTTCTTCTAGGCTTTGGATGTGGAACATGGTGGAAGGTATTAGAATTGCTGAAGTTATAAGAGGTTTGCTGGGACAGAAGGATGGATTAGATGAAATGCCCTTTTGCGGCTGTGCCATTGGAGCTGTCGAGGGATGTCTCTATGTTCTTGGTGGATTCTCTAAATCTTCAACCATGAGATGTGTTTGGCGATACGATCTGATAGAAAACAAATGGAGCAAGGTGACCTCGATGTCTACAGGTAGGGCATATTGCAAGACAGGCATCTTAAATAACAAACTTTATGTGGTCGGAGGGGTTAGTCAGGGTCAAGCTGGATTGATTCCCCTTCAGTCTGCTGAAGTTTTTGATCCCTCTACAGATACATGGTCCAATGTACCTAGTATGCCTTTCTCAAAAGCTCGAGTCCTGCCCACTGTCTTTTTGGCTGACATGTTGAAGCCTATTGCCACAGGATTGACCTCCTACATGGGAAGGCTATGTGTCCCACAAAGTTTGTATTCATGGCCCTTTTTTGTTGATGTGGGCGGAGAAATCTATGATCCTGAAACAAATTCATGGATGGAAATGCCTAATGGAATGGGTGAGGGTTGGCCTGCTCGGCAAGCAGGTACCAAATTGAGCGTTGTGGTGGATGGTGAATTATATGCTTATGATCCTTCTAATTCTCTGGAAAGTGGAAAGATCAAGGTATATGATCAAGGAGAAGATGCATGGAAAGTAGTTATCGGAAAAGTCCCCGTATATGATTGTGCAGATTCAGAGTCTCCGTATTTGCTCGCTGGTTTCCATGAGAAAATTCACGTCATTACAAAAGATGCTAATCATGACATTGCTGTTCTTAAGGCTGACCTGCGCAGTAATTGGGATTCTTCTCCTTCAATCTCCTCCCTTTCGCCCATCTGTGGTCATGAAGATCCAGAACCAGGTGCTGAACCTGATGCAGTTGTTTGGAAGGTAGTTGCCAAGAAAGACTTTGGTCCAGCTGAATTGGTCAGTTGCCAAGTGATTGATATTTAGTTAATTCCAAGTATGAAATTCTATAATATATTAGTTTACTGGAAGCTAAATGAACATACGACATGGTTGCTAGTTCATTTAGACGAATGTTTTAGTACTTGTATGTATCGTATAGGCAGTTCTATGGAAATTACCACCTACGAGGTTACGACTGTAACGTGCTTGTTGCTGGTTTAGATTTACTGCGAAAGGAAGGGAGAAATGAGATGGGTTCATTCTCTCCAGAATTAACGTTCAAATAATGTCGTCATCAAGCTGGTTTTGATATTTATTCCGGTGGTCGTGGCATATGCTGTAGGCATTTTTGGGGACAAATTCATGCCTATATTCATTTTACGCACAACTTAATTGCAACTCTGATAAAATTACAATAAAAATAGGAAAAAAAGAGATATGGATTTGTGAAATTAATTATTTGTTTAAAAAGAATTTATATTTTTATGTTTTAAGTGGTAACGCGGAAAAAATATATAGGGAGAGTATGTATATTTTTTAAAATGGTTTTTCTTGTGTCCTACAAAAATCTGCAAGAAAAAAGTGTATAACGAAAAGATAATGAAATTCTTGATTCATCTAATTCATTTGCACTCATATTATGCCCGATTTGCTTATATGCCACTTTCATACTCAGAGGAAAAAAAGAATTTTTCATTCTAATTATGAGGCATATAATTGTTTTTTGACCAAATAGTTTTTTCTTTTATTCTCCATTAAATGTCGGTGCATGTTATTTAATTTTGAAAGATATATATTTAATAGAAGCAAAGTTTAAAACTATTGAAATTTTAGATATAATTAATAAAACAATTTTTAAGATTTTTTTTAATTTCAGTAAAATATGTTCAAAATGATTTATAAATCGGATAGGGTGGTATTAATTATAAAAGCATTTTTTGGTTGTTGGGAGGGATGCAAGAGTAAATATTTTCATTCAATAGGGTAAAAAATACAATACAAATGTATATATGATCATAAAAAATTATTCATTACAACCCTCGAGATTATCCATACCAGAGTCCACCCGGAGGATCATACTAAGAAGTTGGGACTCTTAGCATGCGATAGTAGTGATACACACTGAAGCATCGGCCGTTATTTCTCTAAGACAAGGATTAGTGAAGCTGACACCCTGATTAGAATTCCAAAGGAAACAGAGACTGAAATAGTGGGAGAGCGGGATTGATGAGATGCTGCCTCCGGTACTTAATACTAGCTCCCTTATTAAGTGTTAGTTTTATTTTTAATTTGATTCAAAATATAAAATTTTAATTTATTTTGTCAATTATATTTATTTAATTTTTTTAAAACAGTCATTATAGTAGTTGCACATATTACAGTGGTATCAAATAATAATTTTAACTAATATATATAATTAGTTAGAATATCTTAGGAAAAACAAGACATATTTATTACAAATAACTAATTTAACTAATTTTTTTAATTTTCTCAAATTTTTTTAATCTCCTCATATTAGTCAACAAGGATTGACTAATATGAGGAGATTAAAAAAATTAATTAAATTAATTATTTGTAATAAATAGGTATTGTCTTTTCTAAAATATTATTGTTAATCATATATATTAGCTAAAACTATCATGTAATAAAACATTTAACATATAAAACTACTATAAAAATCATATTAAAAAGTTAAATATAAAAACTAAAATTAATTAAACTTTTATATTTAAAATCAAATTAAATATAAAAGACGGCTTTTGTTACTGTAAAAAACGTGGGGATGTTTCAAGGACACCCCTCCCTATCCACCCAGTCCCAAAATCCGCCACAGAATTCAAGTACGACGGTCCTGCGCTGTCGCAGTGACAAAAATCACGCAGGCTGCCTCATGTTTAATTTGTTTCTATATTTTAAGTATTTTATTGATTTTCCGGCTAATTATCCAATTCAATTAATTTCCAATACACACACATGGATGCCTAGTCTCTGATGCAACTTCTTTAATCGTTAAAACGCATGTGTTTTTAAAGGTCAGAACCTATGACGGATCTAGTGCAACCAATATATTTAATAGATCAAGCAACAGAAGAAAACGCTCGTGAAACAAGACCCAGAAATAAACAAAAACCTCTTCATCGTCCCAAAAATTTAAATAGAAATGATATTTGTATGAACTTAATTGTTTCTGTACAGCAAAACAATTACAGTGCCGAGACTAAAACCGAGATGTTACAGGGCACGAACCAAGGAGGGAAATATTTTATTTACAAAGTATTTATCGGCGTCTTCATTTGTAAAATGAAGACATGGCATAACAACACTTGCAGGAATCCCGGGCATGGCCGAAAAGGCCCCATTATATATAGATATACCATAACCTTATCCGATAATAAACAGGGAGGGCTGACAGGATGGAACCATGAATGATGAGCTCGTGCAGGGGCGGCGGATGGCAAATGCAGTTTCTATTGGCTACAAGGAATGGTCCCTCCTGGGTGTCCTGGAATTCTTGAGAGTCATCATGAGTTTTTGTCTTTCACCTTCGACTTCTGCAAACTGAAGACTTAACTGAGAGTAACGGTCATGCATCTCTTTCAGTTCCGTCTCCACAGCAACGTGTCTTGCCTTTAGTTCCAGCATGTCTTTGATTAACTCGTTGATATCCCTGAAGCTTCGGAAAATTGCTTCCTCGTCACTGTGTTGCTTCAAGAAAGAGCTGCAGTGTTGGGAAAAACACATCATGCCAAGTGCTCAATTTCCTTTTGCCCCCCCCCCATCAATTTCTATCAATGTTGGGGGTAATTCCAAATACTGCCTGATTTTTAAAATACTACTTCCGGTCCTTGATATAAGAGTTAGTTGACTAATTTGAGTAGATTAAAAAAATTAGTTAAGTTAGTTATTTATAACAAATAGGTGTTGTTTTTTCTAAAATATTTTGGCTAATCAAATATATTAGCTAGAACTACCGTCACAAAGACTACCTTGAAAAAACATGGATAAATATGAGAAACAAAATAAATCGTCTTATATTTAAGATCAAAATAAAAGTCAAACGAGTTCTTATATTAAAAACCGGACATAATAAATAAAACTACAATATGACAAAGTATTGTTAGATATATGCAAATCTATTAGAATGATAAATGTATGTAGCGATCAAACTATATGCTTCTCAAGGTTAGTATCACAGCAAACTCCTTTAACTGAAGTATATCACTAGTCACCACGCCAGACTTGAACGCAGAAAGAGAAAGGAAATCTAAAGAAATACCACCCAAAAATTTTCACTACTGATGCAAAGGAGAATGTACCTCTGAAATTGTAAGCTTGATTTCTTGGCCTGTAATGCTCCAGCAAGTTCAATCTCCAAAGCAAGAACCCTTTCCAGTGCATTACCACTGACGGAGATTTCATTGAACACAGGGCATACATCTCCCAACTCTTGATTAGCCTGAACAAAGCTCAAAATAAATAAGAATGTAAAGAAAGACATGCTTCATGGTGGTGCAGATAGAATCCATCACCTCATGGAGCTGCATCAATTCTCTTTGCAAGCCTGGAAAACTTGACTCGAAGTTACAGTCATCTACCGATGTAAATAAATTCTCATTCTTCATTTTTTCCAACTGCAATTAGAAGACACAAATCAGATCACATGTTTCAGCCAGAAAAGAGGTTAGACTACATTGGCATTCAACAGAATTATGAAATTAACAAAATAGGGAAAAGCAAATGCTATTCACATACCCCCACATGCATAAGATAGTTGAAGGACAATACTTCTATCACAAGTAATTAGAACTATAAGAAGAATGGAAGAAAGCAAGAATAATAACAACAAACTTATTCACACAAAGAAATACCTCATTATTCAAGTGGTCCAGGCTGGATTTTAAACTTTGAGATAAAGCAGCATGTTTCTGTCCAGCAAGTTGCAAGTTCTCTTCAGTTTCAACAGTTTGGCATCCATTTATGCCTCCAAGTGCAGGTGCTTCCTGGCAAATGATTACCCACAGCATTAATAAAAGGCTTGCCAGATATAAAAGAAAGCCTACATTAAATACGCAATTAAAAGGTGTTTGGGTAGCACTAGAAGTGCTTCTGAAAAGTACTTTTCCATAAATTGAGATAAACTCCTCCACATATTTACTTCGTATACCGTAAAAATATTTTCAAAACTATGGTTTTAATTCTATCCAAACACCTCCTAGGTAGTTCTCTTGAAACTAAAGGCCTTTGCTTGCCTTTGGTGCAAAAGAGACATCACAGAAGAAAGGAAAATGGTGAAAGGGGGGAAGAATAGTCTTTTCTTCCTATAACTTAGTTCCTTACTACCTTCAGCGCACTCCCACTGTTTCACTCAACTTGAAGAGATACCCATTTAATCATTTGAGAATAAGCCATATGACTAAGTCAAGATATTTGGACTTGTGCAAAGGAGTTTTCTACACTGCAAGAAACATATCATGGGGACATTGAAAGTGTCAAGAGTTATGTGGTTAAAACTCAGATGATACTACCTCCGGTTCTAAATATAAAAACTAGTTGACTAATTTGAGTAGATTAAGGAAATAAGTTAAGTTAGTTATTTGTAATAAATATGTGTTGTCTTTCTTAAAATATTCTTGTTAATCAAGTTTATTGGCTAGAATTGTCATTATTAGAAGGATTATCTTAGGAAAAAATAAATAAATATGAAAGGCAAAGAAGATTAGGATTTGGTATTTAGGACCAAAATAAAAGTCAAACGAGGTCTTATATTAAGGACTGGAGGTAGTATTATTGTATATTCCATATCTTATCATGGACAAACACAAAACAATCAAATAAGGTTATATATAGGATTCTCTACCAGTACAACATTCAACCATAATAAAAAGGGCACACCAATAGTTTAGTTCGTTAACAAAGTCAAAATTTTCTAGATTTGAAGTAATTTGGCTACACAGGATCCCATAAAATCGTAGAAACAAGGTTATTTCTCTTCCATTTCATATCCAATAAACATTAGGAAACATACAATGATGATGAAATATGTGCTTCCAAAAAGAATTATATCATTTACCTCAGGTTTTGCATTGATGGGCGTATCTGGACTATCTGGCTCTCGACTGCAACCTACACAGGCAGATTTGGCTTCTCTGGGACTTGATGGACTAGAGGATGGATCCACAGATGAATAATTTCGAGGAAATTTATCAACAATCTCTTTCCCAACAGTTGGAATGTTAGAAATTGGGTTTCTAGAATGAGGCTGTTCTTCAATGGGTTCATCAGATGGGCCAGTCCTTTTCTGTGATACGTTGTTGCCTTCCTTCAAAAATTTGAGATGAGATCCAGCATCTTCAATTAATTCCTTCATCAAGGTAAGTTCAACAGCAATTCTGGACTTCTCCTCATTGCATTTTAGAAGAGAATCTTCAAGCTCTTGCTTTTCCTGCTTGCAACATTCAAGGCTAATCATTGAGCATTCCTTTTCAGCATTTACTAGGTCATAAACATTTAACAAATTGCGTTTTTCAGAAAGTACAGCTTGTAACTCAGCTTCTAGGTCCAGGATCTTCATTCTCAGCTCTTCATTTCTTTTTATGTGCGAAGCTTCAGATTTCTTTCTGTTCTCGATATCATCAATAGCATCTTGCAGTTTCCATAGCATTTCCTCACTATGCTTTTTGGACAAGGAAAGTTGTTGCTTTAGTTCTTGCAGCTTTGTTTCATACTGTTCCTTGATAAATGCTATTCTCAAGGACTCCTGCATAGCAACTTGTGGTCCTTCATGCCCTCTTCTGTCACGAGCATTGAGACACTCAGCATCAGCCTTGTCTTTGAGCTCCTTCAAATGAATGGACAAATTTTTGAACTCTTCCGTCTTCAACACCTGCTCAGAAAGCCTCTTGGTAAGTTCACTGTATTGGATCTGCAACCTAATCAGTTCATCATCTGATTGTTTTAGCGAGAACATTGCACTTTTCAGTTCATCTAATTTGGACTGGAAAACCATGCATTTTACTTCAACTTCTTCCTTATCAAAAAAGAGGTCTTCAATATCTATTCTACAATTTGCCAACAAGTGCTCCAGCCTTTCAACTTCAAGAGCACCCTGGCTTTCATGTTCACAAGAAATATCAATTGCATTCTCTGCCCTGCTCTTGTATTCTGAAAGCTCTTCATTTATTGCATTGTTTTGATCAATTAGTGCTCTGCTCTGAGCAGTGGAGGATTCTAACTCTGATTTTAAACAATCCACACTTCCCGACAATCTTGCATTTTCTTCAATGTAAGTTGATTCTCTGGAAAGAAAACCATTTAACTCAGATTCTACATCAAGATTCTTCTTGTGAAGCACTTCAACTTGCCTGCAAGTTGAGTGAAGCTTTTCAACAAGATTCTCAATATGACCCTCCAACTGAGCCCTTGTGAAAATCATAACGACATCCGTTGCTATTGCAAAATCATGCAGTTCAGCTAAATGAGTTTCCAGAAAACTAATGGAAGAAGATTCTCTTAAAACATCTTTAAGACGTCCATCAGTTTCCAGTAATAATTCAGACACTCTTGATTTCTCTATTTCCAGGTCTGCAACCATTTCCTTGAGCCGGACTAGTTCGTTTTTGTTTAAATCAAAATCCTCCAGCTGGCATTGCTTCTCATTCAATACTGAAGTGAGATCTGTTACTGTTTTCTCTAATTTTCCTCTGAATGTTTTCTCAGCATGCAACTCATCATATAGAGAATGCAAACTTTCTTTCAAAGCATTAAGCTCTGAAGAAATCATAGAAGATTCTTCAACTTCCTTCTGCAAAGACGCCTCTAGAGCTTCTTTTTCCCTGGTAGTTTCTGATAAACTCAGCTTACACTTTTCAAGGTCGCCAGATAAAGTGTCTAACCTTAAAATTTCTTGAGCAAGGTCATGATTTCTCATACTAAGTTGTTGTAGCTCAGCTTCCAGATGATCAAGAACTGACAAAAGTTCTTTGTGATGCTTCGAGTAAATTTCTTCAATATCTGAACTAGCCTTCAGCGTGTTAACAACTGCTTCAAACTCTGACTGAAGTTTCTGCAACAGGGCACTGGACGTGCTTAGATTACCTACCATCTCTTGCAAATCGTGTTCAAACTTTTGTTTCATGACTATGTAATCTGATTTTGCAGTATTTAAGGATACTTGAGACAGATGCTGTTCATTCACTAAAACTTTCTTCTCTTCAATGAGTTGCTGAATCCTATCACATGCACTATGTTGGAGCTCGTCTAGCTGCAAAATGAGACCATCTAGATCTTTAGACTTCAAGTCCTGAGAAGAAGATGTGCTACAAAGAGAGAGGCCACTGTAATTATTTGCATATGATTCAATCACTTTCTGCAACTTGATGCACCCAGAGTTGACCACACTCTGCAGATGGTCCTTCATAGAAACCAGCTCATTTAATTCGCTTCTGCTAGCTTTTAACTCTTCCCTCAAGGTGGACATTTCATTGTGAATAATGTTATTTGCTTGACTCTCTTCTTTCACTAAATTCTTCAACTCCAAGTTTTCTGCATTGCAGGCCACAAATTTACTCTCATAACTTCTATACTCTGCCAGATGAGTTTCCAATTCAATGATTTTCTGAGCAAGAAGATGGTTTTCATGAGCAAGACTTTTAAAACTTGCTTCCAAAATTTCATTCTGGTGAGCAATATCATTGCTTCTAGCTGTGCAACTGGCCTTGTATTCATTTAGGGAGTGAATATCATTCATGGCATTCTGCAGCCTAAGTGTCAATAACTCCTTGGACTCTGTTGAGAGTTTCAGCTGCTGAGAGAGTTGATCGATGTTTTCTTTCATGAGTTGAATGTCAACATTTGCTTCAAGCAACATTTCTTGTAAAGCTTTTGAAAACACTTCCAGGTATATATTCACAAAATGCATATGGCAGGCTTCTTCTTCAACCTGTTTGTACAAGCCTTCTTGCAAGTGGAGTGATTGTTTCAAATCCTTTAGTAAAATATCCTCGCCTAAATGCTGCTTGTTTAATAGAGCATTCTGAGTTTGACATGGTGATTGATTTGAAGTAAGGCCTTCCTCTAAACTTTTCAGATGATTTAATGTTTCAGGGCAAGGAAGTGAAGAATCAGAAAAGGCTTGCTTTATGAGATTCTCGTTAGTTTCATACATAGAAAGAACCTGGCAAGAAAGTAGCTTGAGGTCTTTTTGCAACTGACCAACAGCAATAGAATAGTTCAATCGGGCCCTTTTGAGGGCTGCTTCTGCAGAAACAGCCCTTCTTTCAAGCTCATTGTTAAGAGAATTCAAAATGCGCTTGTCCTCATCAAATTTTAATGTCTGCTCTTTCATATTTAGATGCATTCTCTCAATCTCTGTCTTACTAGATGAAATTGTGTACAGGCAAGCAGAATGTTCATTCCTGAGGTTCTGCAGCTCTGCCATCATCTGTCTCTGATTCTGCTCAAGTTCCTGAACAAGAGCTTCATAGTAGCACTCCATCTGGTCCATTTTCCTAGCAAGGCCTTCCCTTTCAGTTTTGGACTCATCTAGCTCTCTAAGAAGTTCAAAAAGTTTTGCTCTCATTTCAAGGGTAGGATCTATAGTACTAGATTCATGAGACACAAAGCCAGGGATGCTAATGAGATGAGCCATGCCTTCAGATTGGAAAAAATCTGACTCAGATCGAGCTCCTGCTAAAAATTGCTCGCCTTTATGTGAAGCCATCTCTTTGCTCTCTCTTCCTTTGGCAACACTGGTTCCTGGATACCCTTGCTTAACAACTTGCAAAGCCTCAATTAGTGCTTCTAACTCCGAGTCTAGAAACCTAGAATTCTTTTCATGAAATCCCGTGGACACCTTTGTTTGAATTTCTCTCAACTTATCTTCCATAAGCAAAAGCTCCTGGAACCCTCTAAGCTGGGACTTCTGAAATAACTTTTCCTCATCTGTCTCAGTTGGTTCTATCATTGAATATGTAAAGCTCAATTTAGAATTTTTAAGCTGTTCAAAGTCATTTTTAAACTCCAAACACTCTGATTTTAGTACAGCAACCTCTTTTGATAGCGCTTCTCCAGAAGAAATCTCAGCAGCAAGTTGCTCAGCAAAATTTAGCGTTTCAGCACCTATTGCATCCGAATGATTCCGCAAAGAGCTTACCTCCAGTTTTAGACCAAGAATAGATGACTCAATTGCTTCTAAATCTTCTCTAAGTCTGCTAGTATCTTCAGAAGCAGTAAATATATCATTTGCAGCAGCACCGTCCGCCCTCCAATCTTGGACCCAATCACTGCCCTGTGATGGACCAAGTGCATCACCTTTCTCAGGCTGATGACTTTGAGTGAGGGATAATCCACCCGAATCACCAGAAGTTGTGCATTTAAGGCCATCTAGTTCGTTTGTGGAGGACATATCATGCTTCTCAGCATACATGCTCCCCGAAGTAGTCGAAGAGCTGTCAAGTCCAACAGCTGAGTCAGCACACTCTTCATTCATCCCTGCCTCTACTTCAAGTGAAGAAGCAAGAGCAAGCCCTTTAGATTCTTTCTTGAACTTCACTCCTGCACTGACCTGTATAGTGACAAAAGAAAAGGCCAACATGAAAATGATACTCACACATAAAACTTTTAAGAAAAATCGATAGGCATGATCATTCACTCCAATGCTAGATGATAAATTATTATTTCAGCCCCCCCCCCCGGGGGCATTATTGCATGTCTATTTCCTTATAATGTACTACTAGGCACGTGCCCAAGTATCCTCCAAGTACGTTATTAATGCTCATTCAATCAACCATCAATGGTAGCTTGAATTGCATAATCTACTGATAGTAGAAAACAGTTAGGTGAATATGGTTTGACCATAGATAAGTTACAGAAAATCCTCAGAACTCAAATGTGTACACTGTAGACAACAAGCACTACATACAATCTGTAGGAACAATACATTGTATCTTCAGCTAGGCTGGGAAAAAAGAGTTCTAAATCTAGGAGTGCTTAGATAAAAACCAAACAAAGCACAGATGCATCTGATTAGTGCATGTGTATTGAAAATAAAGTTTCAACATGACTTTTTTAGCCAGGAGAGCTCCTGAGCCCAAAAAAAATGAGGAAACAACAGAAAGTAAAATGTAAATGAGTAATAGCTTTAGGCTAACAATAAAAATGTACAAGACAAAGTCGTAGCAAGCATGCCTGGAGCAAGTGAGGATGAAGATTGCTAAATTAGGTATGGCAAATATATAGACCGAAATATATTGTAAAGGAGAGGGGGAGGGGAATGAAACCTTATTTATATGATTATTGACATTCTGATCTGGAGATGACTCTTTGCTATCAGCAGATTCATCATTAGTGCCTTGGTCAGAGTTGGTCTGCAGACCCTTCTCTCTGAGTTCCCTTTGCTGCTCAAATTCTCTGAAAGTAAATATAAACCTCAAATAAGTGTGTGCTATTGTTGGCTAAACCGCTAAAGCACATTCTTACATGCCACAGATAGTAAGTACCTGAAACCAGTTTTGGATGTCAGCAGCTGCACAGTGACCTGGCTTCAAATAAGAAAATGGACAAAGATTTTTAAGGAATATCAGCGATATCCCAGGCAGTAAATATATTCTCATTCTCAATACATACGTAAAAGCAAGATGCCATTGCCATGGACCACAGATGCATCAAATAAGGAACTGTATACTATAAAGCCATAAAAATACAAAAATTAACAAAATGAAGAAAAATTAATTTTAAAAACTCTCACATGTAGTATGGTTCCTGCCTCACATCCATTGAGCTGCACAGAAACAGCTGTAGGCTTCAAGGCATCAACAAAATCAGCCAGATTGATGGTCGCTTCCCCAAGGATGCTAGACCGTGAAGAGCCCTAGTGTGAGAATAGGCAAAAATGAAGTTAGTACAGTTCCGTTGGGATAAATGCCACAGGAACCTCTCTTATTGTGAAGACACAGACAGCATGTAGACATTTCTGATGGTAGCAGGTAATAACAGCTAGCTCTCTGTAAATATATGATATTCAAATTTCACAACCACAAGAGTTGTCACGTTCTTAGCATATGAGTCATAGTATTAATTAAATTTGGTTCCCAATACAAAAGCCATTCAGACTTGATGATTTTGAAAGAGAAATCCATTCATTAGTAAATGAACGTTGATATATTTTTTTGGTCATTGCATCACAGAATTAGAGGATATGGTGAAAATATGGGAGCACTGGGCTATGTATACAACCCAAAAAATGGCATACACATGAGTAGTTTCTATAATAAAGGCAATTATGCAAATGACATGAAAATTTCGACAAATAAAGCGGACTATAACTACAATATAAGGTCATAAAAGAACATACCATTCCCACGACAAGTTTATAAAGTTTGTCATCATATTGTCTTGATTTAAGGTCTTGGAGAAGTCTTGTAGTTTCATAAATTGGGTCTGCCCACTTGCAGGTTCCATTTCTCACATTTGCTTTGGTTGTCTTTGCTATGGCCTTCCCAGAGTCAGAAGGTATAAAAGATATAAACAATTTATCCCATCCGGATTGCGGAATCTATAGAAAGCTTACTATCAGCACTTACATAAAGAAAATAAATTAGATGCATGAAATTTTAAAATCCACAAAAATATAAGGAATTAGCCGATGGCAAACTTACATGCGTGGCATGGAATTGCAGTCGGAAAACAACCTTTACTTTTGTCTTCTCTATCTTCCACTTTGTGATTCTTGACATTGTTCAGGCAATCAATCAATCCTATCATGCATTATAGCATAACTTGAGGGTTCCACAATCATTTCTAAGCCCAATGAACCGCTTTAATTGTCATGCATGCAATAGCAGTAATCGTTATCTCCTGAATGTCAGAGAAACAAGGCACACACGTCATTCCTTAGAGATAAACCTACACAGCAATTTGAAAACCTCACAAACCAAGTTATAATCCACTGATCCAAAATTATGACAGTATATATCATATGGAGGGCTTACAATGCCTTAGATTAATTACAAGTTTGTTACGGTAAAAGACTTGTGCCACCAGAAGTGAATAAACAGAACAAAGAATGGCATCCAGGAGGGATGACACTTGAACCGATGAAAGACCATATAGAACAAGCACATCACGGAAATGAAGGGCGGGGCAGATTCGCACAGCACATAGTATCGATTGTCGTGAGTCGTGAATCATGATGAAACCAGTGTTTACCGGGCCGAAAAAATCCAGTAATTACTAATGCTGTACTCTAGAAGGAAAAATGTTGGTATTATTTTAACCATCATTTGTCTGCAAACACTGGCTTAATCAGGAAATCCAAATTTGCCAAATTGCGAGAGGAAACAATTGCATGTAGCACGAAAGGCTGACTCGTAAATTCAGCCTTCAAGTTGGAACTCGATATATAGAATAATGGAGTTAGATCTCCAAGTTGAACTATCGCATAATGCGTTTGGCTGCAAAGAAAGTAGGAAAGCAAATATGAAAGTTAAGCCTATTTCAACCCGAGAAGAGTCTATCCAGCTGAGCTTCAACACTTCCCGGTTTCGCGTGTTAGACAGTGTTCAGCAGATGAAACAGCTAAATCCAGCATTTCTTCCTCCCCTCCCCCTTGTTCCCCGAAAACGCGAAGATGACCGAACAGAAAATGATCAGACTACAAGATTTGGAAATAAAAGCAGAACCACGCATACCGTGTTGAAAGAGTCGGAAACTTCTCAGAATGTCAAACCTGAAATTTTTTGCCAAAAGTCCGCAAAGAAAAATCGCGGATCGAACGCAATGGATTCAAATTTGACCTCGTCGATATAGACGAGCAGCAGGAACCCGAAAGCTGCTTTGCTTCGGACAATGCCACTATATACTTGACCCGAAAAACTCAGAACCCAAAGACTGACAAAAGCAAAGAGTGAAAGAGAATCCTGACCCAAATGCTACGCCGAATGTAGGAAAATATGCAGCTAAAAGAGTAAGCACGGTTTTTTCCCTAGCTTAAAAATTGTTACCAGATACTGACACTCCTTACATCAAGATGGAGCCAAAATAAAAAGAGAAAATGCAATGAACAAGAAAACGCCAAAAGGATTGCGCAAGCAAAGTGCCGCGGTAAGAAGACACCTACTGCCACTAGAAAGCTGACACCTAAAATCGTCAAAATTACCAGCGACAATTTATAAATTAATATATTGAAGCCATAATATATTAATAGTGTTGGAAGTGAAGGCTGTATAGTGCGGGCATTATTGGGTAGGTAAATATCTGCGGACCTGTAGCTGCTTAAGGAGCAAGAAACGGTAAGGAATCTTCGGACGGAAGGCTCTGACTGTGAGTGACCGTCTCCGAGCCCCCTCTGCGTGTCGTGAGAGTTTTGGTTCGTTAGGATTTCAAAGACGATTAGGCGGTGGCGTGAGTTTGCAGTAAATGTGGAGTGACCGCCATTATTAATCAGGTGAAATGGAGCTATGATAGCTTAGATAGTCCATCAACTTCAGAAACCAGCCATAATCTCTAATTATCAGCTAATTACAACAGATCATGACCATTGGTTGGTTGGTTGGTCCTGTGAGAATTGTGTTTTGAAAAAATCATTTTGTTTAGCTGTCTCATCGCATTGGCATCCATGGGGATCTCTGCATCTGGAGTAGATTTTTCCGTGTCGTCCTTGCTTGCTTCTACTATATTTGGACTTAAATGGTATTGTGAAAGACCGTATCTTAATTCCTCCTTGTTTTGTGGCTAAATTTTGGGACTAGGAGCAGAGTGGTTAAATCCAGCCTGCCAACCCAACCTGTTTACGATGCAACAGCCCAGATAAAATATCAGACAAATTACAAAATGTTTTCGCTAAACTGAGCTTCTACTTTCCACGGCAAATTCCAGCTCAGTAATTTCCTAATTACTTTCTCCGTTTTCATTATTTGTTTTATAAGAAAAAAACACATAAATCAATTTTAAAAAGTAAAATCTATATGCGATAGAAATTTTTTTTCCTGTTTCGTTCCCCATTTAATGTCACCCGCCCTTTTCCAGTATATCCCCCAAAAAAAAATGGCACCCGCTATTTTAAATCGTAACTATCTACATTTGATGTGATCAGCTTACTATTGAAGACAAGCAATAATTATATTTTGAAATTTATATGACGAATCTAAATGAGAACGAGTAAATATAGACATGATGAATTGTTGTGGATACTGAAGTGAGAAGTGACAGCGGTCATGAACCGAAACCATTTACACACGGAAAAGAAAAGAACTGTAACTAATTGCAAAAGTTGCCTCCAGGCCAGCATTTATCTGGATGGTCACATGGGAGCGACTTTAACGGGATGATGGGGATGGAAGATCATTGGGACCTCTGCATCTCTATTATTGTTCGTTAGACCCCTTGGAATCGTTCTTATTCATTATAATTATGAACGATCTATTCACGCTGTTCAAATATAGATAACAGAGAAGATTTTGTATAGATGCGTGATATGTATTGCTGTTCAAAAGCAATGTACATAAATTTAATATGCTTACATATTTATATAGTAAGAGACAGCAGCAAATGAAACGCATTTTATGAGACGAAGCAACCTACTGGCAGGATTTATAATTAAAAAAAATGATAGATGAGAAGCGGACAAGAGGGTCGGGCCAAACAAGTTAAATGTTAACTTGAGTGCCCTTAGTTGATATTGGATTTGTGGGGGGTGGTGGCTAAATTGAGAAGGGAAGGCGAGACTTCAGATGAGTGGCCACTCTGCACATGGGTCTGTTATTAAAGGGGCGTTACATTTCCACTCTATACTCGAGCATTGTGATCATGCCACGCAGCTAAGCCAGCATACCTTTATCACGTGACAGCGCTTCCATCACGTGCATAACATTCACCCCACAAAGTGCCGCCCTCCTCGATACTCAATGCTGATGCTTCTCTTTCGTCCCTTTTCGCCCTTTTTCAAATGATGTTTGAATTAATGAGCCGAGCACCAAAGTGAACATGGAAAAGGCCATATCACCAAAAGAAAGAGGGAGAGGGTGCGATTATCCACAGATTATGATCAGATGCTAGATAAGACACAATCCTAAGGACCCCACCCTTCACAAGCTCTCCTCACCTCACCACAAATCCATTTTTTAAAGAAGCCCAACACGAAGCCCTTTTTCCCCCTCTTTTGCGGTTGCCCAGCAAAGTAACAGGGGAACCTATCTTATACTTCAGCGTTTAGTGGTGGCCGGGCCACTTATCTCAGAGACTCAAAGCAAAAGCCTTTTTTTTTTTTGGGTGCACAAGAAACAGGAAATTCCTAAAATCACTCAAATGAAAAGTTGCCATCATAACCAACAGAATCGGGTCTAACAGAAGGGGTTAATCCCTCACAACATGACGAATCAATATTTGAATTCTTTTTGGGAGAAGTGTCTACATTTAGCGTTCGACAGTACTTCAAATAAGATTATTTTCAATAAGAAGATACCTACATTTTAATTATAAAAAAAAGCTGCCGCCACAACATAACTTCGACTTTAACAGGAACCTAAGAAGAATATATCGGCTCACCCAAAAAAATAAAGGGGGATTGAAAATCGTTTCACGTGACATGGCAACCGATGGAGTCCTCAATCCGAAACTAAATTAATGTTATTTTATGTATGAGTGCATAGATCTTCCTTTTTTTTTACCCGTGAGACTGACAAATTATATTAGAAAGTGTTGGAGTAGTATCAGAAGTGTTCCTGAAAAGCATATCTTTATAAATCAAAATAAACTATTCTACATATTTACTTCGTATACTGTAAAAATACTTTTAAAATCATAATTTTAATTCCATCCAAATATCTTTTAGTTTATATTCGCAGAATATGCAGAAGTCATCGTAAGTCGTAACTACAATTTAAGGCTTTTTTTTTTTTTTTTGGTTTGGCCAGACTACAGATTTAAGCTAACCCCTTCAATTAAATACGTAATTTAAAACGGCGAGCCGCGAGCATCACATGACATCTTTCTCCGTTAAACTAACTAAATAATAAATCCAAGGCAGCTCCGTGCCTCCACCTGCGCGCACAATCACATGAATCTGACGCCATCAATGACGGCGTGTTTTCTACTTTTCTCCGCCACAAATTAATGTTATTCCGATATAATTTTATCAGCAATCAGGAGTTTAGAACGGACGCCGGGTAGTTGTTTCGTTTCCAGCAGGTTTTATGGCGAGACTTGACACCGGAAGTTAAACCTAAGACGCTACTAAATATGTAAATCATAATCTAACTTTTACCATGGTATCATTTCCGCGAGGTAAAGAATATACCTAAATGAGTTATAAAACTGTTAAAGTGCAAGAAAAGATAAATTGGATATACAGAGAACAGAGACTACAACCAAAAGAAGGGGGGGAAAAAACCTACAGATGAACGCATCAAGATACAAAAGTGATTTTCATCATCTAAGTATGAAAGAATGATAAAATCCTCAGAACAAATAATAATAAAAGCAATCTCCTGCTTGATCGCAGTGGAACGAAACAAGAGGACAGGATCCGGGCATATTGCCAAATTGGGCACCCATAAACCGCCGGATCAAATCAAATGCGGAATCGAATCCTGTTCACGTAGTCGGAGCCGAAGTCCCCGATTCGTCATCATCGTAATCTGTTACCCGAGCAATTTTGCTGCGATGGTTCTTAGACGGCCAGAAGAAACATCCTCCTGGTGTTCTGGGCTGGGAGCCATGGAGTCTGTGTCGAGCGTTAGCTTCTTCGAGCTTCACTTTCTCCTTATGCATTTTGCGCTGTACGTATATTTCAGCGAAACTAAATCCCGCAGACGCCATGGATAGATACGTATGGGGGTAGTGGGTGATGCTTGGGGCTTACCAGAGGCAGGGGTGGATTTATACTGGAAACGAAGGTGGAGAACTTGATTGGGGAGCAAGGAAAGGCGGAAATGTGACGGTAGCTTCTCCGAGGCCGTTTGAGTCTCGGACAAAACACTAGTCATTACATGATAGGTGGTTGAATTCTCTGGCGTACCAAAGTTGAATATTTCTATTGAAACCGGGCCTCTTTGGCGCTCCCCCCAAATTTGCGGGCCCATTACTTTGCATTCTGTTTGCCGCCTTCCTCTCGCCTTCTTGGCCGCCAAGGAAAGCACATTCTCTTTAAGCTGAGTTGCTAGTTATTGCTAGTTATACGGTTTTAGACTCTTAGGGAGTGTTTAGATTATGACAGGGCATTTTAAAAAATATTTTTATATAAGTGGGACAAGATTTTTCTCATATACTTATTTCGTACTCCTGTCATAAAATCATTTTTAAAATTATGTTTTGGCTCTCATCAAAACACTCTCTTAATTTATAAATAACAAGCAGTTACCCAATTTTTATTTTATATATTAATGAAAGATGTGATCGTCTTGAAGGCTTTGTTCAGAGAAAATTACACATATATCCTGATAAAAAAATTATTAAAGAGGTGTTTTAGAATTTAATATTTACAAGTCCAGTAGTATTATTTATAGTCAAATTTATGAATCACTGTTTTGCCAATCAAATTCTCATATTTGCAAGTCAAAACTGTATTGCTTGCAAATGAAACTTGTAAATATTAGATTTCTTGAGACCTGTTAGAATCGAATAAAATTGAAGAGACTTATTTGTAGCTTTTTTTTTTTTTTACTTGGTACTATTTTTCTTCTCATGTTATATATTTGTCTTTGTTGCATAATTTCATAATTCATGATTTCAAAAGTTGTTAGCGTACGTGTTCAATCATGTACATACCTTTTTTTTCTTTTTTCCATAACTATCATGTACATACATTTTCATCAATAAGAGAACTCATTTGAATGGGAAAAAAAAAAAGAACTCATTTCTCTTCGTCCATTAGCAAACAAATGCAGCAACATTTCATGTATGCATTTTCAGATTCACTTTAGTCTTGTCAATTTACAAAGATATGGATACTGGGATGCATGTTTATGAAAGAACGTGTTTAGGAATTGAGAGGCGCTTATACATACATACAGATATATAATAGAATCCTCATGTGCCGAGAGACACTGGATGGAGGAGAGTTGTGCAATAAGACAAGATTAAGAGACTGTCAGAAAATTATTCTTTGATATGA